AAACACCGTTAAAAAACATTATACCAATATAAGTTTAAGTAATTCATATCGCAAAATTGTATCCTTAGTATGGTTAAAGAGATACAAAGACAAAAAAAAAATGATCTTTATTGGAAAATGGCAATGTGCTTATCAGAAAGGTAAACGTACTTCTTAGGTATTCCATCGCAGGCTATTAGGCGTTGTATATGAAAAAGGTGATGGAGCTATTCGAAGTGGGAATTGATAATTCATCAGTGTTTGATGCAGTCCACAATGAACTTCTACGGCATTTGTTATCAGATTCTGAACTAAAATTAGAGTTTAGAAATAAGAACAACAAGTTTGCAGTTTGCTTAGTTGGATTGGAGCCTTTCAAAAGGTGACGTGCTTATCAGGCAATTTCAATTACACAGTGTATTAAACAAGCCCCATGCTCCAATTCCCAGCAATCACATTACCTCTCAACTTAACAAAAGATCTTGATAAAATGATTTATTATACTAGAATACTAAAATCTGAACCAATTAGAATAAATATATCCCGATAAAATATGTTTGGGCACGTCTTGAGATCAACTGAATTTTAACCAGCCAATCAATCTCTTATGTTTGCACTAAATTGTAATGGTGAATCCTCATTACTCATGGAAAACCCTGAAAATTATTTGGCAAGAACATTATTTAGTGGAAAACACATAAGATGCAAATTATTGCTGTGATAAATAAAATTGGAAACGTTCGTCTAATTGTTGGTATACCAAATATGAAAATGAAATCATATTGACTTTAATAATATACCTACTTTTAATTTCAACCTTATTACGTGTTGTGTAGGATGTAACGAAAGAGTGGTTTACACATTTACAAAGCAGTGGTCGAACAAAACCTATGGAGAAATTAAAGACTATTTCACATAGAAATAAGTCATTGCCGTATAAAAATTTAATTGTTTTAGGATTTATTAAAATCAATGCTCGTTTAATGAAATGTAATGAAATACTAAATACTAGAAAAAAATTATGGCGAAAGACCGGCTCATTTAATAGGCATCACTAATTAATGCCATTCCAAAGGAATGGATTGTCATGATTAAGAAACATAAACAACTATTATATTGTGCAGATTACAGATGAATGTAACATAATCAATAGCATAGTTAAGACGAAAGCAAAATCTACTCAAGTTTAGTTTATTCCATCTCAATCAACACGCAAAATGGAAAAGTTTGTTGAACAGAGAAAATATAATTTAGAGTAATATAAGAAATGTAAAAAACAAAAAATATTTAATCTAATCAGAGTTATATAAATAACTATTAAAAAAAAGTGGAGCCTACAAAACAATTACAAAAATGTAAATTAAATTAAAAAAATAACAAATGTTAATATTTGCAATAAAATTTATGAGGAAAAACATATGTTATTTTAATGTAATACTATAGAAAACAAATACAAAAAAGAGGAGATCTGTTTCTATACACACATTTAAGAGTGTAAAATCACAACAAAAATAGACTAAAAATATAAATATCAGTAATTCTCTGAAAATCTAAAAGAAATAATTTTACTATACATGGTGGAAGCATGTTGGTGATTTCTCCCCAAAAGAGAAAAATAAACATGTAATGCTTGTAATTGAGTTAGAAGACATAGACCATATAAAAACTTGACACTGGATTAACTAAATATTGAATAGAAAATTCACAAATAATTTACAGAATCCAGAATGAATTTTTTTCCTAAGATCATATCTCCTCTCACTATTACAAAACAATCTAAGGATCCGCAATTTAAAATATAAAACTTACAAGATCTTAAAAAAAAATTACAACTTGCCGCAAATGAACAATTTTCGGCCCATTTTTAATTGTCTTAAAAGAATGATATTTATCCTATTTTCTTATATTTAAATATATATACTTATTAAAACTGTTTTCTATTTCTCTTGTACCACTGATCGGAAAAATATATTTATATGTTTTTAGAAAACAATAAGTTAATAACATTTGTTTTCAAAGTAACAAAAACAATCTTCTAACACAAGGCTAACACTCTTAAGACTAATCCCCAAGACCGAGAATATTGCTGACAGTAGAGAGATATTAAGTGCCGATAAGATCAATGGTTTTTTCTGCTCTAGCAGAAAAGGCTAAAATGTCTTTCTATAAAAAAAAATATATGGCTCTTCATCATTGAAAAAAAACAAAAAGGTAATGAAATGAGAAGAAAGAAAACGAAAGGGTAAATAAAGGAAAAGAAAGAAAATAAAAAGGTAAAGAAAGAAAAAGGAAAAAAAAGAATATAAATGGGAAAAAGAAAAGAAAAAGAATGAAAACGAGGAGGATAAGAAAGAAAAAGAAAAAGTAAGTGTTAACTATAAACCACGCATATTTATTTCAAATAAAACCAAAATGTATAGATAAATGGAATGGGGTATTTACAGGCAATAACATCGATTGGGAAACAGTATAGACAAAACAAGTTTTGGGATAAAGACTCCAAAGATAGCCGAATTTAACTTCAAATTACTACATTGAATTTTACCAATTAAGAAAAGGTTATATCTATGGAAATTAGATGATTCATCATTGTGTGTACATTGTGCAATGATTGTTGACGAAGAACACATGTTAATGACGTGCAGAGTCTAGGAAAGTATTGGAGTAATGTTGCATCTATATTTAAAAAAAAGATTAATATTACTTTCAAAAATGTTGTATTAGGTATAGCAAAACAAAACAACATTACTAATGAATTAATTGCAAAAGCAGCTTATACAATTTATACAAACTGGTTATACCTAGTAACAACAGACCCATGGATCTTATTTTGCAAATTCAATTTGTATTGAAGGAAGAATTCAGATGATAAAAATAGGCAAAGATGGATTGATAGGCCTATACACACTGAATAAACAAAACAATTATTAGGTAAGATTACGGTACTCTAGCAATATTGTTATTGTAAAGTGTTTAAACTACATGCAACTTTATAAACGACTATACTGTAGAAACAAATGTTTTTATTTATTCACAAGCCGACTGTGGTTTGATGAACTGATTGCTTGATTGATTATTGTTTTTTATTTCATGAATTATTGTTATTGATATATTTCAATTTCAATATGTATATATATATATATATATATGTCTGTATATATGTACTATATATATATATATATATATATATATATATATATATAATGTGTTTGTGTGTGTAAACATTATGGATAATTATTATTATACTACCTTATATAAAAACTAGTATGCCTACAGTACATCAAATTGTTGATGATGAGAAAAAAAATAAAGAATAAAAATGATAAATGCAGGTATTAAAATATATTAATGGCATCACAGCAGTGATGTGTGCATATGTATATATGCGTATATGTATATGTATACATTATATATATATATATATATATATATATATTTATTTCACGTATTATTACGTATATTTTACATTATAAGTGACCTGGCTGGCGTTCCATAGAAAGGGTATTAGAATGGCGCCCTCTATTACACTTTTTAAAATAAAGATGATAATACTGAGGTGCCTGTGTCTGGAGAAATTCTGTTAATCATTGTGCAGATAGGCTGTAGGATATTAATAAATGCAAAGATACTAGAAATACAAGATAGAGTTCTCCACACACAAAAAAAGTGTTCCACCGAAATGCATGGTGGGAATACAATCAATGGGACGCCCCCTACAGCTGGATCTAAAAAAACTTCTGCCAAACTTTTGTTACCAAGTGGTCGCGTATTTTATTATCAATTCCATGGAAGCACCTAAGTGCCATTACTATGACAAGTCGTCATAGTAAAAATTGTATGTTTTCATGGCGAGATAGATTATACTGACAAGTCGACATAATACATATTGTATGTTGTCATGGCGAGATAGATTATCTTGACAAGTCGACATAATATAAGTCGTATGTTGTCATGGCAAGATAGGTTATCTTGACAAGTCGACATAATAAAAATTGTATGTTGTCATGGCGAGATATATTATCTTGACAAGTCGACATAGTAAAAATTGTATGTTGTCATGGCGAGATAGCTTATCTTGACAAGTCGACATACTAAAAATTGTATGTTGTCATTGCGAGATCGATTATCTTGACAAGTCGACATAATAAAAGCTGACGCAGGGTTCCCGGAACGCCGCCCTCAGCGGCGAGTGCGAAGCACAACTCAGGGTCAAAAGTGGAACGTGAAATTTGGATATGGTTTTGTAGTGAAATTTGCAAGAAAAATTTCAGCTACCCGTATTTCTCGACTGAGACGTCAGTGGGAGCTGTAATAGATGTGTATAAGAGACAGATATATATATATATAATATATGTTATGTTAATATATATATTATTATTAATATTATTATTATTATTATGCTACCGTATATAGAAATTATGGTTTGTGTTACATATATATATATATATATAAATATGTTTTTTTTTTACTTTTAAATATTGAAACTCAGTAATTTTCCAGATGAAATCAATTGAAAAAAAAACTCGAAGAAATTAAATTAAAGTGGGTAAAATCCCCGCAAAAGGGAAAAAAAGTTAATTAATTAATTAAAATCACGCATCTAGTACTACAACTATAGTCGATATTGTACATTGGAACTTGTCAAGGATCTAACAACTTTGGTATACGAAAACATTTTTAAATCATTTAATACCACGTCTAGGCGTGTACGGAAAAATAAATAGTTAAAAAATATGAGTACGGCAGTACTCAAATTGTACTCACCCTGTGTCATTTATTGTATACAGCAGGAACGTGGGCCACTTATGCCAGACATAAAAAGAAATTTGATTTTTTTTCACCTGTGCTGCTTGCGGACGATACTACGATGACTTGGCCATACATATGTATAAAGAATGAAATATTCAGAATCTTTAAAAAGTGTTTTGCTTGTTATGTGACCAATTAGCTCACGCTTCTGCAATTTTCAGAATTTTTGTAGAAGGTTTTTTAATGTTGAGATTGTTGTAAAGGCGTGTTTAAAAAACTTTTTATGCTGTATGTTATGTTGGAAGACTCTCTGTGTAATCAGTTGTTTTGTATTTTCAATAACTCTCTTTATGTTCATTAAAAAAAATACACAGGTAAATATGCGTATCTAAAGGCCGATAACTTGTTGCTACATGAAACTGCCGACTTTAGCACTGAAATTCTGACATCGGAAACTGGCGACAAACTATGTTTGATGTTTTGGTATTGCGTGAAGGGTGAAGACTCTGGACAAATACTTGTATTTTTGGTTAATTCAGAGAACGAACTAGGACGTTTAATTTGGAACGAACATACCACAACTCAATTCAACGTTTGGAGAGAAGCAGAAGTATATTTTACACCATATGATAATTATAAGGTAGAAAACAAAATAACCGAGAATATTATAGAATTTTTAAAAGCAAGTCAACATATATATATACTCTGTATGATTTTTATCGTAACAATGTTTATATTTACATATGTATATATATATATATATATATATATATATATAATTATTTCACGTATTATTACGTATATTTTACATTATAAGTGACCTGGCTGGCGTTCCATAGAAAGGGTATTAGAATGGCGCCCTCTATTACACTTTTTAAAATAAAGATGATAATACTGAGGTGCCTGTGTCTGGAGAAATTCTGTTAATCATTGTGCAGATAGGCTGTAGGATATTAATAAATGCAAAGATACTAGAAATACAAGATAGAGTTCTCCACACACAAAAAAAGTGTTCCACCGAAATGCATGGTGGGAATACAATCAATGGGACGCCCCCTACAGCTGGATCTAAAAAAACTTCTGCCAAACTTTTGTTACCAAGTGGTCGCGTATTTTATTATCAATTCCATGGAAGCACCTAAGTGCCATTACTATGACAAGTCGTCATAGTAAAAATTGTATGTTTTCATGGCGAGATAGATTATACTGACAAGTCGACATAATACATATTGTATGTTGTCATGGCGAGATAGATTATCTTGACAAGTCGACATAATATAAGTCGTATGTTGTCATGGCAAGATAGGTTATCTTGACAAGTCGACATAATAAAAATTGTATGTTGTCATGGCGAGATATATTATCTTGACAAGTCGACATAGTAAAAATTGTATGTTGTCATGGCGAGATAGCTTATCTTGACAAGTCGACATACTAAAAATTGTATGTTGTCATTGCGAGATCGATTATCTTGACAAGTCGACATAATAAAAGCTGACGCAGGGTTCCCGGAACGCCGCCCTCAGCGGCGAGTGCGAAGCACAACTCAGGGTCAAAAGTGGAACGTGAAATTTGGATATGGTTTTGTAGTGAAATTTGCAAGAAAAATTTCAGCTACCCGTATTTCTCGACTGAGACGTCAGTGGGAGCTGTAATTTGTATGGCAAGGAGATTGAGCAACCCTTCATTCATATTAAGGGAATTTACGCCCAGAAACTTTGTAGTTATTAATATTTTGGTTACAATAGGAAAAACTGGCGGAACAGTGTATATCAATTAATAATGGCAGAATTACTTTATGGAACACAAGGTGGGATGTATTAGTAATTAATTAGTTGATTGAAACGTTTAATGCAAATCTGTTCAGTGTACTTGTACGAATGTTTTTCTTTTTTGTTTTCCTTTTTTAAATTTTTTTCACTTTTTTCCTTTTTGTTTTCCTTTTTTAAATTTGTTTCACTTTTTTCTTTTTTGTTTTCCTTTTTGGATTAAACTGTAGAGGGTGTTTATTACGAAGCTGTTTAAGGGACATGGTGCATTTTTCCCTATACGTACAACTTATTAACGCGTACGTACGCCTTATTAAGCCGTACATACGCTTTATTGGTTATTAGACAGTTTGGGCAAACTCCGTATCCGTATGCGTATGGATGAAATTCGCGTACTACGTCACAGTCTTTGTGTAGTGTGGCGTCAATACCGTGCGTGATACGGGTTTTCGATGCGTTTTGGCGTATTGAGTCCATTTCACACCTAAGTTGAAAAATATATGAAGTTATTCTCGTATATTACTTTTCTTTAAAAGCTTTAAAACAAAAAGGCAAGTTCTGTCAAAGCAGAACAGACTATTCAAGGCAATGCCGACAAAGTTAGTTTATAGTGGACTATAAATTCTGCATGTAAGTGATACAAATTCAAAATTTGGCCTGACTGTCAAATCAACCTATTCATGTACGCTGCCATTCTAGTGCTTCTACCCTCTTTCGGTACGTCATATAATTTTTGCCCAAAGCTACGAATTTATATAATAAAAGAAAACCCTTTTCATCTGACACTTTATATAAAAAAAAACTGACCATATACAAAATAGAACACCTATAAAAAGTTCATACAATTTTTTATTTTGTATTTTGTTGTTATAGTATGTCAAATCTTATTTCCCGCAACAAATTTAAAATTCTACACTTTTTTAAAATCCAAAATAGTATTTTAAGGCTGGTATGTTACTAAAAGATTCAAATTGAATATATTTGGTATTCATACACAAGCTATTAACATTATCTATCAAATGTTGTTATTATCTATCAAATGTCTTTTTTTTTTTATTAAGTTTTTTGTATGGTAAGTTTTTAAAAAGTATCAGACGTTTAGTTGCTTATTATTTTTCGTATTTATTTAATAAAACATTATTATTAAATGTAGCTAAAAAAGTTATAAAATTTTTTTTTGCTAGATTTTGGGTAACACAACAACCATAATATCAAATGTATTTCAATTGAATCTTCTAGTGGTGGACGACTAGCTTTAAAATACGATATAGGTGAAAACATGTAAAATTTGCCTTTTTTGGTCAAATTTGCACTTAAATCCAAAATTCAGCATGGCAACAGCCAATTCAGTGTAAGGCAGCAGCTGGTGATGAGAATTCACCTAGTTGGCAGCTTGTAATAAATGATGGTTACGAAAAAAATGTTTTGAGCACTTTCAATCTGATGGCCAGCCGCCTAAAACTCCTCCCAAAACAACTACTAATAATATGATTAACAATTGTTCTGAATTTATGTTTTGTTGTATATTTTATGGCCTCATTTCGAGGTCTGGTCACTCACACTGTGAAACTACTCCTTAGATATTACAATCTAATAGCACTTGTACTTTATGCCTATTTATGGTAGGTTTTGTAGTAAGTTTTTTGAGAGCCTCATTTGCACCAAGCGTAAGCCAATTTATAGTATGGAAGAGCATTATATATGTGTAAAAAGATGATTGAAGATCTAGATTGATTGAAGATTTCTGTAAACATTTACCCAAAAACGAAATCATCTCTTACTTAGACAAGTTCATATGTGCGTGCATTTTCTTCTTTGTTTGTACTTAATGTTACTTGGTTGGTTGGGGTTTTTTATATATTATTTTGGACGTACTGTTTCTGTCCTGTTGTGTCTCCATGTTGATGGTTGTTTTTTTTTTCAGCTTGTTGTGCTGTTTTGATGTTTGTATTTGTCTATTCTACACCTATATTTTGAAAGTTTAATAAAATCTATATTTATGTTACATCTGAAAGAAAAGTTAAGGAAAAATATTAGGCCTAATTGAGTTACTTTGTTTTATAGATATTATTTAAAGCCCAGGGAGATGAAGGCTACATTGGATTTCTTGCCATTGATGATATTGAAATTAACAACGGACCATGTAGCATTACATATGGTATTTATATTTTTTCGTTTTGTAGACTCTTCAAAAAGCCAGGCTCCATTTGTACGAATTGCTGAGTTTTCTTAGCTATATAATGTATATTCGACAAAAACCTCAGAATTGGCTAATGAGATACAGATTTTTTAATATTTAAAAAATGGGTCGAACTTTCCCCCTCCCCCCAGCCTTTCGTAAATATTTAAAAATCTGTATCTCATTAAATATGCTTTTTGTGTCTTAGTAACATCAGTTGTACAACATAATAATTTTTTCCCTCTGGAGTCTCCGAAAAGAAAAATATTAATTGCATAAGTGAAACTGATTTTTAATTTCTTGTAGAATTCAATTGCACATTTGAGGAGGGATTCCGTCTTGAGAAGGCTGGAAATACTGATACTTATCAATGGAATCTCCACAACCGTTTCGTCGCCAGCATGGGACCATTTTATGACCATACTATCGGGGATGAACAAGGTAGGTTTTTATAAAGAAATTAGTAAACCCTGAGGTTAAATCAAACCTTACAAATTTGTCATTCAATAGTTTCAATAAACAATTTTCATTACAAATCCTATTAACTAAAAGCAAATTTGTTAGTTCCAGCTGTGGAGGCGGATTTGAGCAGCGGCGACGGTTTGGTTTCCCAACAACTCTGATTGTCATTCACTATTAATAGTCGATAAATATCTGTTAATGTTTTAGCTCTCAAAATATCAATTATTGGCAATAAGTTGACCCGTCACAATGATTCCTAGAGAAGAAGATTAATTTAAAAAATTGTGTCAATCAATTGATAGGTATACTTACATTTTTCAATAGTTTTTTCGGCGTCGTCGCAACAGGTATTTGGCGACCTTATGCATCACAGCTAGTATAATCATATGCCTATATAGTAAAATTTTTAACTCATTCTTATGATTACCTTATTGATATTGTTATGCCATTATTCCTATATACTTACTTACCTTAGTGCCATTCAATTGTTGCTGAGACTTCTTCGAATTTACTCTGGAGGTTGTATTATGAGAATCATGAAGATGAGATTTCTGATAGCGACATTTACTACAACAATAACATTCAGAGGCGCATTTAGAGAGTTTTAAAGTTAAAAGTAATATTAAAGTTTTCATAGATTTGTTTTAACACCGGTTTGTGTTACCTTACTAATGTAACTTTCATTCTAATTTAAAAGAGCCACAGATTTGTCATTGAAGATTCGATAGCAAGCCCATAGATCGACTACAATGTACGTTATTCAATACATTTAATTCAAATTTAGATCTACCTTAATAATATGACTTTAAATAGGCCTCCATACTAGCAACTAATTATAGAACATTATTTAATAATATGATGTAGCTTGGCATTTAATTATAGAGAGTATTTATAAAATAGTGAAAGATTAACATTGTTCTGTGTATATCATTTTAATTTCTTCAATTTCAAACAAATGACAGTTGATTTTCTTGTAATTTTTGTATTTTGGCCGATATCGAAAAGTTTGGTCAAATTTGCCGTGAGATGGCGTGTGTTTGGCCGTGAAGCCTGTCAACTATCTGGCAACCCTGTAGCTAGTTACTAGTAATTATTCATTGCTGACTGACAGTTTGCATTAACAGTGACTTTAGAGGTGTGTTTGATTTTATTTTCCTGTGTCTGGAATGAGAATACTGCAGTTTTTAAAAGATTGGTAAAAAATGTTCTATCATTACCAAAATTATACTGGGGCTTTAAGGTATATATCTAGAAGATATATCACAATTACATACAAATGCTCAAATATAATGCTGCAACAGGTTTACAACACATATAAGTAAGTGATGTTTGGGTGGTATGATGTAAAATACAAGAATACTGTAAAGGTATGGATTTGTACTGTTATGTACAAGAAACAATGTAGTGCCCATGTCAATCATGTTGCGTTGTCAGCACATACCCATTCATGGGCTAGTTATTCTAGAAGCAGTGGAGGCCAATTGTCTTTGTATTTCGTCATTGTATTTTGTCTTATAGTTTTTGAAAGCATTCCTGTGAAGCTCCTCCATTGCCCTGTTGCAGCTGAATGTTTCAAAGAACTGGGATGCCTGATGAAGAATTGCCTCTGCTGTTAAAACTTCTAGTCGGGTTCTTAGCTTGGTCTTATTCAGACCCATCAGAGAGAATGTTCTCTCAGCAGTTGCAGTGCTCTGAGGTAGGGCAAAGAGGAACGCAACAAACTGTACAAGCTCATGGTAGCTTTTATTATGAGCAACCATCTTCCAGAATTCTACCATGCCTAGAGGCAAATCATGTATGACCTGCCCAAGTAAGAGTGACCTTCATTGACGGTTTTATACTCTTTGGTAAAAAGTTCTAATCTACGGAGGCCCGAAGACGGCGCTATTTAATATGATTCAGATATCAACCCGCCCTCATCGGGCCCAAATACATAAGGCGGACTTGGAATTATTTTGCATAGGTCTATTATTTTTTAATAATTGGAGGAAAATTGGGATTCTGGACGGTTTCATTTTACAGGAGAGAGGAAAAACAATTATAATTATAATTTTACCAAAATTCTGCTAAAATTGGTCAATTTCTTCTAAGAATAATGCTAAATGCTAAGACGGTCAAAATTCTGCTAAAAAGCAGAATTCTGCTAACTCTGGCAACTATGTTATTATATCTTCTAGTTCCTGAACAACTTGTTACCAATCAGGTTACCATGGTAAATTAGAGTCTAAGGTTATGCCAAGAAATTTAGTTTCATTAAATTGATTAAAAATGTTGTTATTAATTTTTATAGATAATAAATTATTTTTTATTTTGTAATTTAAAAAGAATAAAATTGGTTTTAGATATGTTCAGAGAAAGTTTGTTTAATTTAAACCATTCAGATACCTTAATTAGCTCTGTATTAATAATTTGGTAAAGATTAGCTATATTATGATTTGAATAAAAGATATTTATATCATCAAGAGAACAAAATTTAATAAAGAAAAAGAGTTGGGAAGATTATTAACATAAATTAAAAATATTAAGGGGCCAAGTATTGATCCTTGTGGGACACCACATATTATTTTAGAAAGATATGAATTGTAAGATTTGATAGAAATATATTGTTGTATGTTGCCAAGGTAACAGACAACATGGTCAATTATAATAGTATCAAAGGCCTTGCTCAGATAAAGCAACATACTAGCCGTGAAGTTATTATTGCTGATGGCCTTTTTTATATATTGATATATATGGCCATATATATCAATAAGACCAGAATATATTTCATAAAGAACAACAATATGAATTATTAAAATTTGTGATAGAATGAACAGGAATATGATCGGATATATCAGAGTACAAGATTCCAGGTTATTTTTAACTTGAATATTATTAGTGAAAATATTGTCAATAAAGATAGCGGTTCTAGTTCTAATATGGGTAGGTCTATGTGAAGAGGACAGAAATTAAATTTAAACACATTATATAAACATTCGGATGATTGTTTATGAGTATTACACTTAAACAAATCAATATTAAAATCTCCTGCAATAGAATACTATACTCTGCACTCCTTGTCAATGATGTTTAAAGGAGAAATATGTTGTTATTAAAATTAACTAAAGATGATTCATGATCAGGTAACCGATATACAACACCTGAAATAATATCCTTGGGTTCAGCCTTGACTTCAATGAAAACAGATTCAAAATTTGGTGAAATAATAGTAGAGAGGTGATAACGAAGAGTGTATTGAAGACTTGTCCAGATATATGGCAAATCCGCCTCCTGCCCTGTCAGATCTTTAAGAATCAAAAAGGGAGTATCCTCCAATATTATAAAAAGAAAAATCGGGTTTTTTTTTTTATCATTAAAGGAAGTTATACTAAAGCAAATAGCTGCAAATTTGTGATTCAAGGTATTTAAAAATTCAATAACATCATTAAAATGGTTGATAAGGCTGCTGATATTGATGCTGAAAATGCTAAAAGATGAAGAAATGTTTGTAATTTTTAAATTAAAAGTATCAATTAAGTCATAGTTACATTCACCATTGTTTACTAGGTGCATAGAATTGTCTTAATTATTGTGTTATTTAAAGATTGTAGTCTATTAAGATTAATCTTGTGATCATGAGAAAAAATATCTGAGTTCATGTATATATTCATTATCATCTATAATAAATTTAAACGGATATAAAGTACCTAAACAATCTCAGTAAATTTAGTTATCGTCATTCCAGCAGTTGAAATGAGATACGTTTTTGCAACTTGAACAGCTAATATGATTATGATTCAGTAATTTATAGCATAAAAAACAGTTCATTGTGAGTATCTTAAGATGTAAGCAAAAATAACTTAAAAAGATACAATTTGTCAAAAATACCAGATTACCAATGAATAAGATATGGGAAGAAATTTTATTTAGTTTTGTAAAAGTAAACATTTTCAATAATAATAATAATCTATGATCCATCAAAATGTTTATAAATAAAACAAGAAACGCTGGTAATATATAAATACTAATAATATAATACCGTACCAGCATCTCCTGTGTTGTGAGTAGTTAAATGCAATGCAGTTGAATCATTAGTTAACAAATCATGGTGGTGGAATGTATGTAATGATGGCATTCAAAATGCAGAGATGGTTATAAGTTTCTTATAATTAAATGTCCTAATCTGTTCCGTTACTTGCCAATCTAATTAAATACACAGACAACTCCATTTGCCAAACGCATTTTTTCCGGCTGAAAATCGTAGTTTCGTGCCTTTCTTGTAGAGAGCCTTAACTTCTTCTTTCCACTTTCTTTTCACGGACAAATCTGCGTTAGTAAGATCATCTAGTATGTAAGCCTGATCATTTTTTACAGTCTCGGCAACTTGTCGGTATATGACACAAATCTAATCAATATATGCGGTGGCTTACCGTTAAATCCTTCGTCACCACGGTGTGCAAGCTCGATCTGATGTGGTAAATGGAACTCAAAGTATTTCGAGAAAATGCAGTTTTCCTTCAGAACTTGGTCGATGCCAACAATTCCAATATTTATTCTGGATAACCGCTCAGACTTGTTTAGACCATCGTATAGTTTAACAATCTGGGATTTGAGTACCTCAACATCCGTATTTAATTCCTTTACTTCTATGTACGTTTGCTGATCCTTATTTTCAAGTATAGAAATACGTTTAGGATTAAATTCAATAGCCTCTTTAAAATCATTTTTCATTTCTCGTTGTTCTTTAACTAAAGACTTCAGAGACAAACGTAGAAAAGGTTCAAAATGTTCTTGGGTTAAAGCTACGTTCACATCAAGCTACGTTTTTTGAACGCTACGTTCACATCGCGCAAGGAACACGGTTGTTCGTGTTAAGTACGTATGCGTTCGATTGGTTCGAACCAACCAAGCTTGTTGCTGATTGATCCAAGAAAAAAAAAGTACGATTTCAGGATACAAATGGCTCTCAGACCCATCAGTCCGGATCCGGAGTCCGGATTAGAAATCGTACGAATTTGATGTGAACGGTCCTATTCTCTACCACTGAACCCATTTCACGATTTGTTTTTCAGGCCTTGATATGAACGTAGCTTAAGGCTGGGCTTTCATCAGAACGACCGGAGGCTTCGTTCTTTGTATGTGAAGAAAGTGGCTTCACTCCTCGTATAGTGGGTTTTTGGGGTTTCGCCATTGCTAAATTTGCATTCATGCTTAAATTGGTCAGGAGCTAAACGCAGCACGACTTACTCCTGCAAGGGAGTAGTATGGTCTAGAATATGGCACAACCTAGCTAGCCTAGGCCTACTCTAGTGTATAGTTAGTAGTAGTAGTAGTACTACTACTAGGGACTCTTTCTAGGGCCAAGACTAGGACTTAGGCCTAGCTAGGTAGTATTTATGAATGTCATCCGTTTCGGCCGCCAACCATTTCGGCCGCAATAGATTTTAATCCAGGAAATCAGGAAATAATGTATGTTTTGCCTTAATAGAATATAAACTATTCACAATTTTACAAATACAATAAATAGGTTGTCATCCATGGAGATTTCTAAGTTCGTTAAACTTAGAATTGCGCTCATTCCTTGTATGCTATATGATTGGCGTAGGCTTTCCTTGGCGAAATGACTTAAATAACATGTTGTTTGCCATTTCCTTATAACGCATATTTATTATAATATTAGTATTGAGAACTTTATTAGTCACTTATTCGAATTGACTGAAAATTGACAATACAAAATGTTCTATACATCCAGGCCAGAACATCCCTACATCATATTTATCCTGGGACTATATCTTCACCTATAGATAGGCCTAGCTCATGCCGTAGCCCTATAAAACGTTCCCGGGTTTAAATAGCAATAATAACCTAAACAATTCACATAAAAAATAGTACTAGCACCTTTTGTGGTCACATGCCCTAGTTAAAATTAAAGTAGGATGCCTAGGATGTAACGTTATATTTAAACCACACTAAACCATGAAATTTTGAACAGCACTTCCATTTTACTCTAATGAAAACTTGTGTTTTTAGTACCTTCATCTTTGGTAAATTGTGGTTTTGATTAAATATCTTAATTTATTATTTAGAATTTGCTAATAGTCAAACTCTAGTCAAATGTTCAAATAACCACTATTAAAGGGACACTTATTATTTTTCTATTGTATTACAACAAATACAACAGTCTCAAAATAAGAAAAATTCACTAAACTTTAAATACTGGCACATTTAGAACAACTTATTAAGGAACTTTTATCACCTTTCTACTGCTGTTTGTCAAGGTCGAGCTTTTGTTAGACGTAATAATAATAATAATAATAATAATAATAATAATAATAATAATAATAGTAGTAATAATAATAATAATAATAATAATAGTAATAATAATAATAACAATAATAATAATAATAATAATAGTAGTAATAATAATAGTAATAATAGTAATAATAATAACAATAATAATAATAACAATAATAATAATAATAATAATAATAATAATAATAATAATAATAATAATAATAATAATAATAATAATAATAATATTTTAACTGAATTTGCAAAAAAGAATTTTGAACCAAGTAAAAGTCCTTGTTTGGTAGTAGTTTTGTGTGTTTAAGTATTTTCATGGTTTGTTGTTTTGCTTGTATCTGTTTAAGTGGTGTTCTGTTCTCGCCTCTTAATCTTATTGATTTGATTGAATTTTGTATTTTGAGATTTGTCCAATTTTTTCTTGGTTTTTATTTTAATTATTCTGATATATGTATGAATAACTTATCCTTTTTAATGAAATTGTTCTATTATTTTTAAGTTATTGTAGGCTAACTGCTTTACTGAATAAATTGAACTTGAAAATTGAATTTTGAAATTTGAGCAATATACCAGAATTTTCTCCTTAAATCCTTAGAATGAGTATCGGTAAGGCATTCTGCATGTACTACCTCGTATAAACCAATCTTGATCCTTAACCATTGGGGTTTCTTTTTATTCGTTTTTCGTGCACTTTACATTTTAATTCATTAATTAACATTTGCATCATGAAACAATATTGGGAACATATAAAACTACAGTTGTTTTAATTACTTTTTTGCTGATTTCATAATATAAATGTATTGTATTTGCCTTGAAAATTATTGCTATAAATTAGCTATAATTTTACTGTAACTAATTATATCGATAAAAATTAAATTATGAATAATTGTATGTCATCGTTATATGAAAACATGTCAAAAACCCTATTAAGGGGATAATTTCACGTTTTTGGTTAGTGTCACCTGAATAAGGGTACCCCTTTTTTGGTCCCAAGGTTTCCCCTTAATAGGAGTCCTACTGTATATATAT